TGCCCACTGCTCCGGGTGTGTGTTCACGGTGTGTGTGTGTTCACTGCTGTGTGTGTGCACTTTGGATGGGATAAATGCAGAGCACTAATTCCAAGTATGGGTCACCATACTTGGCCACATGTCACGTCACTTCACTTCGTCACTTAAGACAACACAGAGAAAAATTTTAAATTACACAAAATGATCATATAATTGTAAAAACATTTTAAGAGGCCTTAAGCCTGATGCTCTCAAGACAGATGCAAAATTAGTCTTTAGTAAATGTGGCCTCCAGTGACCTTTTCTGAAGAATCTCAGCATAGCTAATTTTAAATTTCTTCCTTTTTGCCATTATGGTTAACTGGTCAGTGACAAAGATAACGAATATCCAGGATGATGAAAATATCTCAAGATATGTCAATTTCAGTTCCATTTCAAAATGCAAATTCAAAATTGTTTTCAAATACATTTTCCAAGGTAAACCTTATTATTATTATTATTATTATTATTTTACAAATATGAATGTTTGAATCATGAATATCATGAAGCTTTCATGGGGTTATACTTCAAATTCAATGGCCTTTTAATATTAAGACTTTTTACGATTATCTCAGGACTGTTATACCCCTCTGACATTCTTTCAAATTTGTTAAAAAAATAAATAAAAATGGATTTTAATTTAGAAATTGATGAAAAATCATCACATCAATCAAACGCCAGGTTGTAAGAGGGGAAGGCACAAAGTACACATCATTATATACACAATGAAAGAATTTCCTCCAGCAGTTTGAGAAAATCTATGTTATATGTACAGCAAACAAGGCCACAATAAAAGGATTTTTTAGACATTTAAAGGCTGGGAGGGGTTATTGAAGAGCATTTAAATGACCTGTAAGAGGCTTACAAATATAAACATTTCATTTACCATCCCATCAGTACAACAAAAATATACATCTCTGTACAAAACGCATTCATTCAGCACCCTGAAATGACAAAGATAACCGTAATGTACACTACACCAGACATCACACAGCACTCCAGTTAATATGACACACACATCTGCCCTGAATTCATTTTAGTGACATACAGTGCCAAACTGAAAGACCAAATAGACCAAAAATATACAAAACAATCTCAATCTCATGTGTTTGACATGACTATTTTTGATTAAACGGTTTCAATATTTACATTCTGACTACCCACAAACAAAAAGAAGATTATGATGATTCCTGACAATCATGGAGTCTACTGGAACAATGTACTGTAAATCAGTAAATAATGACCATTCACTGGCCTCTGCTGATTGGTTGCAGAAGTTCTGACTGAGGTAAACAGTTCATGAGGTGCATGCATCTTCAGAGAGAGAGAAAAGAGAAAACGGTAATAGTGAACTAAAATTACATCTGTCATGTCAGTAATTTTTCTATTTTATATGAGATATACAAAGTTGCAATTGTGAGGAATGAAGTCAGAATTCAGAGAAATAAAATTGGAATTTCTAGATATACAGTCACAACTATGAGAAATAAAGTAGGGGGTGGTACATGCGGCGGTAATAGGCATTTCAGTTGACTACTTACTGCAGTCACAACTACGAGAAGTAAAGCTGCAATTGGGAGAAATAAATTCTGAATTGGGAGAAATAAAACCGGAATTGTAAGATATATAGTCACAACTACAGGAAATAAAGTCACAATGGTGAGAAATAAATTCAGAATTGGAAGAATTCAAATCAGAATGGCGAGATATATATTCACAACTACGAAAAATTGAGACACAATTGTGAGAAATTCAGAATTAGGAGAAATAAAATCAGAATTGCAAGATATACATTTACAACTACGAGAAATAGAGTCGCAATTGTGAGAAATAAATTCAGAATTAGGAGAAATAAAATTTAAATTGCAAGATATATATCCATATCTATAAAAAAAGCCGCAATTGTGAGAAATGAATTCAGAATTGGGAGAAATAAAATTGGAATTGCGAGATATGTATTCTTATCTATAAAAAAGGCGCAACTGTGAGAAATAAAGACAGAATGGCAAGACAGAGACACAATAACGGGAAATAAAGTCGCAATCATGCGGAGATGGGCTTCAATGATGGCAAAATTCTATTTATTTATTTTACTTTTGTTTTATTTTACGCTTTCAATAATTGAGTCCTTGCAGATGGGAAGGAAATGTAAGGTTCTTGTATGTGTAGCCTTTTGGTATGACCTACAGCATTCAGCCTTCTGCTTATGTCTATGACATATTTACATATATATTCACACATTTGTTATGATTCATTTATATTATATTATTATAAACATCCTGCCTCACCAATCTGTATGTGTTTTGAGTAGATAACGTGTTTATCCAGATACCCAGCTATGCGTGTTGGTCTTCACCCCGTGTGGGAAACTCTGTTGACTGCTCATGGGGTCGAAGTTGAAGTCCAGAGCATCGCCATCCATGAGCGTGTCGTGAAGGACGGTTTCTACGTCACACTCCAGCTGCTCAATCGACATGTCATCTAAGTCACTGGGCAGCCGCTCCGGGTGGCTGTGATGGTGGTGAGGTCCCGGTCTGTGCCTGTGGAAAACGTTGCCATTGGTGTAATTTGGCATCCCGGCTTCGCCTCCGCCTCTTCCCAGTTGAGCGTGATGAGGCAGGTGTGGTTGTAGCTTCATGTTACCGAGGCGAACAGGATGCCCATGGGGCAAAAGGGCACAGCCATTCATGCCCATTGCTGGCGAGGGCAACTGATGAAGCGTGCGCGGGTGCGCATGCAGGTGAGGATGCGTGATCATTTTGCCCCCCTGTCCCATTTGTCCTTGACTAGCATAGCTAGGTAGCACCCGTCGCCCTTCTCCAGACCCCACTGACTCTAAAGGCTGCATCATGTCCCCTCTTGGATGTGCATCTGCGCTCAGCAGCTCTTTGAGCAGCCCTGCAGCACAGTTGTACTGACTCACAAAGGGTCCGTAGCCTCCTGGTTGACTGTCCGATAAAGTCGGTATGGCAATGGGACCCAGTCCGCCCACCCCGGCCTGTACATACAGGCACTTCCGGTAGTCCTGCTGGACTTGGGGCTGAGGACCCATAATGGGGGAGTTGTAAGACGGGTACCCAGGGCTACCCTGCATCATGGGCGAAGACAGTGCAGTTTGGGCATCTTGGCTGCCCTGGGTGTTATTTTTGGGTGAGATGAGGTTGAGGTTGTCTAAGAGATTGTCATTCATCACGTTCTCGGAACCGTGGTGACCCGTCACTTCGGAAAGGCTGGGGAGGGGGCCGCCCAGTTTGGTGCCTGGGTACCCGATGGGAACCTCACCGGCCTCGTCCTCCTCAGGTAGGAAGGGTGAGCGACGGCCGCTGAGCGTACTGGCATCAGAGCTGGCACGGGTACGAAATGTGGTCCAGGGTTCAAAGTCATCATTGCTGTGAGAGTTGGGGCTGCCGAGCCATTTTGGGTACTGAGAACCAGGACTGTTAGAACCACCGTCCAGTCCACTCTGCAACGACATCTACAGATACAAAAGAAGAGCTATGAAAACCAACTGTAACACATTATTGCTCAGATATATATTGCTGTAAGTCACTTTTACACCGTCTACACTGGAAGTAGCACAACTATTGATCATCTCATTAATGCAAACCAATGAGATTTAAGTTTGAGGCCATGAATTATTTTTAAACTGAATTTGACTGGAAAAAGGAAGGAAAAAAAAAAAATTTTCTGAGTTGTTTTAGAACAGAGAAGTAATTTTACACAGAATTTTAGCACCACTAAAAATTGTGCATAAAAATGTTTTAATTATTTTAATTCGTTTTTTTTTCATTCAACTTTTTGATATATTATTTGTTTAAATTAGTAGTCCTGAGACCAGAACCATAACAAGTTGGCTTCGCAGATATAAACAAAAATATATAACAGATGAAATAAAATTAAAATTAAATTAAAAACTCAAACAAACAAATGTCACATTATATTCGTAAAAAATGTTTTCGGTTTCAGATGTTCTGGGAAAATAAAGTAGATTGAAGTGCATCAAAAATAGAAATCAACTACAGGCATGTTGTAATGCAGCACAATTTATGCTTTTCAGTGTTGACCGCTTTATAAATTACAATGCCAACAATTTAGTTGAGGTGTTGCAATGTGCCACTTATACAGACAGAAAAATCAAAGACAAGATTTTTTTAACAGTATGTATAATTAAATAACTGATTGCAGAAGCCTTATGTTGAGTGATGCTTACAGTAGTTTAAACCAATACATTGATGTTTTGGCACACAGTGAATCTGCACCTAGTGAGCAAGCAGAGATTTTTTTTCCCCCTCAACTGACCTTTTTCTTGGCTGCTCGTCCACGGCTCTTTATGAACTTGCTGTTGTTGTCCATGGAAGTGGCTCTCCGGCGTGGAGACTTGCCGCTCTTTCCCCCCTCAGGGTTCAGCATCCACCACGAGCTCTTCCCCGTTCCTTCATTCTGGACGCGCATGAAACGACTGTGCAAGGACAGATTGTGTCTGATTGAGTTCTGTCAGGGAGAGAGAGAGAGAGAGAGAGAAAGAACGAGATGAGAACATGAAAATTTTAGTATAGACATCTGACAGAAAACCAATCATAAGAAGTGGAAATGACCTGCAATTGTCCAAATCAATGTCATAATATCATGCTTCAATGTTGTAAGACACTCAGATATAACAAAACATACGAGATAAACCAGTCACATAAAAGAGAAGTGACTTTTGATTGACAAAACAGCCATTATTTTATTATCTTATGTTACCAAATCACTTAATAATAATAATAATAATAATAATAATAATATTTTATTACTTGCACTTGCACACAATCACAGACAATCATATACAAGCAGCAGCCTTCTCAGAGCCTAGTGACAATATGAAGTAGAGCAATAGCCAGTTAGCTGGCAGAGGAAAAGCTGTAATAGTCATGTCCTTTTTGGAGGCACACACTGAACTCAACCTATACACATACATCCTGCGCTAATGATATTTTGTCTGCTTCAGTTTTTCCATTCACACCCTGACCAGACCTACATCTACTAAGAAAGAGAAGAGAGACTATCATAGTACAATTTAAAAGTCTCAAATATTTTGCTAGCTTAACTCTTATCGTGATTTCTTTGGGGAAAAGTGACGTCATTCAGGCCTGAACTGCTCATTGAGAAGAGATGAACAGGAAAAAGTAAACCATACAGACATTTAGAAGAGGACAGAGGACAAACTCAAGAATGAAATTGTGATTGGTAATTTGTTTTGTGTGGTATTTTGATGATCCCATGCCATCATAATTATTAAAGTATAAAATTAACAGTGTTACCAGAGGTCATAACCAGAGCATGTGAGCGGAGCGGAGTGGTAATATTTCCTTAAGAGCGCAGAGCGCCTTTCTGAAGATTCCGCTCCGCTCGCTCAATACGCTCAGCGCCACTCACTCAACCCAGAATGCCATTTGGTGATTTGCTTGTTCGAGATCGAGAATCTGTAGAGATCGAGAATAGTAGAGCAGTTATGGAGTTCAGATATTGTTTCAACGAAGTTGCAAGCCTTATACATAAATGTAAAGTAAAAATCAAAGTTAAGAATGAGCAGGGAGAAGAAACTGAGAGGGAGTGCGGGGAGACTGTTAAAGTTAGTACAGATTCATATTGATTACAGAGAGCACGAAGATGTGCTACGCAAACATGGTGCAGCAAAAGGTGAGCTAGTTACATACCATAATAAATGAATAAACAGGTAGGCTAAGGTTATATTCGGTTGTACGGAGCCCCGATCATGACATGCAGACAAAATCACGGCCACGAATTTAGAATAGGCTAGTTCTCTTTTATGCTAGGACTACATTATGGCCACGAATTAAGAATTAATTTTTTCGTTTAGTCTAAATTATGGCCACGAATTAAGTATTCGTTCTCTTGTTTAGACTTAGCTGGCACGAATTCATTCGTTCGTTAATTCGTTCATTCCCTAGTTTTAGTAGGCCTAAATCGTGGAATGAATTATTATATTTCGTAATTACTTATTAAAATCATTATTGCTTAAAATTAATAAATAATAATAAATTAATAAAAAAAATAATAAAACCTGCTGACGTCGTAGAAACGAATTGTTAATTCAAATTATATTCGGAGCTCTGTAGTTATTAAATAATCTCAGTTAAACTGTAGACCTAAGCTAACACACAGCTGTATATAGGCCTAAATACAGAACTACAGAGTACAGAAGATATTAGCCTACACCACTTAGGCCTATTAAAATATTATTTAAAAAAAAACTGACCCGAACCAATAGATAGTCCTACAGAATGTAGGCTAGATATAGGCAGCAGTAAGTTATAATCTAATATAATGCACGCAAATTTGTTATTTACAGAACTGAGCGGGAATTGGTTTACGGCGAGCGTGAGCGGAATATTAACGGAACGCTTGCTTGGGCGGTTAGAGCGACTGAGTGG